TAACCTTTGACCAATGTTGAGCATTATTTTGAATGTTAAAGAGTATTTTTACCCCTAAAATTTGTTTGAAAAAATAATTAGTATTCTAAACTTTTTATTTATGTAATATTTTTGAGTTATCAACTTTTAAATAAAATAATTCAACACAACTTGTTGTAACCCAAAATTATTAGAAGAAAATTTTAGGTTAAATTATATTGAATGATTTAAATAGAAATTCAAGCCAGTATATTATGCTTATGGGCAATCCAAACAAACATGTATTTAAGCCTGTGCAAGTTGAGAACTGTTCATGAGCAAAATAAGGGTAAGTCTAAACTTAAAAAAAAAAAAAAAGTCTATGAAATGTTTAGTGTAGAGTTGATTATGCATTGAAACAACATCAGCTAAGACCTTTTATCAAAATCTAGAGATATAAACTATTTTTAATAATGATATTGGGTTGTTAAATTTTTCTCTTGATTTAATCATTGATAATCCACAAACATTATGCTAATAAAAGGTTTAAGGTATCAATTGCTTTTTGAAAAAAACTTTCAAGGCAAAATTACTCTTGAACTCTAGTTAGAATTTTTAACTAATAATCAATGTTGATCAAATATTAATATAGGGTGAAATAACATCTTTTTTAAACTTCTGAAATTATATTGTACCAATCAAAGGCTAAGAATATCAGTTGCACTTGGCAAAAAACTTTTAAGACAAATGTGCCCTTTAATCCAATTATAATTTGTTGTAAATAATGACTATGAGATAACTATAAGCCACATTGACAAATAATTGGAAAGTCTTTTAAAGTGAAAAATGCTAAAACGGCCTTATGATTTTTGCATTGTGTTTTGCTATCACATCACAGTTTATATGTAAATTATTATGTTATCATAATAGAGAAAAAATATAATTTCCTATTTTTTTTGGCCTGAAAATATAATTTCTTTTCAGGATATATTATTAGTAAATTTCATTAAGATGAATGATTAAAATGCGCATTTCTTTTATATTTATATTTTTGATACTATCAACAATTACTCCATCCATTACTTGTGCATTTTTAATTAAATTTTACTTCAATAAAGTAATTATTTATCTTTAAATTAATCATATTTTTTATATTTATTTTAATTTAATAGGGGTGTTTTACTTTAAAATAAATATAAAATAATTTATTCAATCAAAATGCTTTTGAAAAAAAAATAATGATTACATTTTAAAAAATTAAAAATATTTTATATTTTTTAATGGAAGAAGTAAGTTTGTTATATATATGTGTATATATATATATATATATTAAGTACTTGTGTAATTTAGTTCGAGACACTGTTACATAATAAAATGTGGGTATATCTTTTAATAAGATTTGAACATTTATTTACTTTATTATGAGGGACTAGCTACTTGTTGGTTCATGTTATATATCATTAAAAACATCTTATACAAATATTACACAAGAATTATAAAATTATTTAATATTTGTATTTGTATTCACTTTCTAAATGATTTTGTTTCTCACATTAATGCATAACATGACAAACTTTAAAAGTTAAATTTATTTATGCTTATCAGATACGAGAAAAATATGCATTAAAAGTGAATACGAAAAAACAAAAAAACAACATCAAAAGTATTTGATGCATGTCAAGCTGATTGAAGTGCCCCTGATTTTTTGACCGGATAGTTGACATTAATATGGAAAATACTAAGAAAATAGGCATTCTTAAATAAATGTTTATATTGTGGTTTTCAAAAAAAAATGTCTATAAAATTTATCTGAGATAACTCCAAAAGGGAAAGCATGCATGCAAGGATTATGATTTATGAATTTTTAAAAGGAAAAATTACATATAAATCTTGTAAAGTAAGTTTATTTATAAATAAGTCTTATAAAATTTAAAAAATTTATGCTAAATCACTTGAAACTTGAGTGTAATTTGAAATTAAGATAAAAAGACAATAATAACCATATTAAATATATATAAAGTTACATTAGTCAAATAATTTATAACTATTTTATCAATAATTTATAAGTATAATTTTAAATTTTTATAACTGTAACTTTATATATATAATTATTTAATTAATTAATTTAATTATTAAATATGTGAAGTTATTGTTATAAAAGTTAAAATTATAGTTATAAATTTTGATAAATTAGTTATAAATAATTAATGCTTTAACTTTATTAGTAACATATAATTGTTTAATTATTTGATATATAAAGTTATAGCTATAAAAAATTAAAATCATAGTTATAAATTGATAATAAAATAGTTATGAATTAATTATTTGATTGATGTAATGTATGTTTAATAAGAATATTATTATCTTTATAGTTTAATTTTAAATTACACTCATATTTTAAGGGACTTGATTGTAATTTTTGAATTGTATAAAATTTATTTGTAAATAAATCTGTTCTATGAGAGTGGCACCTCTACATTATTTTCCTTTTTTCAAAACATAAATCCTATAAAATCATGCATAAGGGAAACTTTTTTTGCCTGACATGCTATAGGTAAACTTATTAATTATTAATTATTAATTACTATATATTGGTTACCTTGAAAATATTTATCTATTAACCTATTAAAGTTATGAATACTTAGGGGTTTAGGGAAAAAAATGAATATCTAGGATCCGATTGTTTAGTATTAACAAAAACAAAATGATTTTGATTAAGCTAGGTGAGGGAGTTCTTGAGAGAAGCTTAATATGAAGGGTTATTGGAAGAAAATTTATTTACAACTTATTTTAATAATTGATTTTGATTAGCTTATTAAAATAAGGTGAATTTTTTTTTTAACAACCCATCATGTTAAAACTTAAGAGTTAAAATTTCCCAACAATCAATGTAACTTTATCAAAATCACTTCTTTTTATTAAATTAAATTAAAAAAATCAGCCGTTAATATTAACTAGCAAGTGAAAAAAAAATATTTATACATGTGATAGAGAGATTTATAAAAATATAACTATTTAATATCTCGAAAAATTATATATGGATCCTTTTAGTCTAAGGTTGGATATAAGACCTATAAAGACGTGTCTCGAACATAATATTTAAAATTGAATGTTATAACTACAGTCCAAACCCAAAACTTATGAAAATTATAGAAAATCTATTATTTTTTATGGAATGAATTTTTTACTTGGTGCATAAAAATCTAAGCGAATTAGATTATAAGAGCTTACCAAAATTAAAACATATTTTTGCATTTAAAAAACATTTATAAAAATGCTTATAATTTTCATTATGGATGTGGCATTGTATTGATTAAGTCTCATTAATTTAGCATTTGCATAAATTAATTCAAAAGCACTTGTTATTTAATGTGATCAATCACGCCGTCTCAAGTAGCTCTGGAGCAAACAGTTATACACACACACACACATCCTTCCTCCTTTTTTATTATAAAGCATGTTTAATTATCATAATTAATTTTATTTAAAAAAGAATAAAATAATAATTTTTTTTATATTTAAATGAAAAGAATTTTAAATTTACATTACATTCTCTTTCATAATTAATAAATTTAAATGTGAATAATATGAAAAAAAATTATTCTTATATTTACCTTTACTATTTTACTTTTATTGAATGTAAAAAAATTTATTAAATGTTAAAGTATTTTATTTTAAAGTAAATATATTTAATAAAAATAATGTTAAAAATTTATAAAATTTTTAAATAGGGCTAATAAAGTTTAAATTTTTTTATTTAAAAAAGTAAAATGACTTATGAATGAAGTTAAAAAAAAAAAAGTAACTTATATCAAGGATGATCAATCTTTTATATCAAGGAGTATCTAATAACAAGAATCAGAATGAAATTTTAGACTTGAGAACTAGAGATTAAGAACTTGAATAAAAAGTAACTTTAAACTATTCTAATATTTTTTTTTTATAAAATGAAAACATTAACTAATTTTAATCGCTTTTAAATTTAATTATATAATTATACAAATATTACCATTAAATATTGACGATACATTGAAAAATGATAAGAGGGCCTGGGCCCACGCGCTGCAAGTAAGCCTGCTGCTGCGATAACACAATGAAGTCATCACTCATCACAGAAATCCTGCCAACCGGACGGAAATTTTTTTAAAATAAATATAAATAAATAAAATTAATTTATTATTTAAAAAAGTTGAAGGAGCAGAGTTGGAGAGAGAAACCAAGCCAGTAAGAGAGAAGAGACCACTTTACCACTTTTATACGCTGCACGCATCCTTCCCCACAGAACACAAGCAACAGAGAGAGAGAGAGCTTGGGGTCCGAAGAAAGAAAGAAAGAAAACCCCATTGCAAGTTCCTTCTTCTTCTATCCATCCCTACGCTCAATCCCACCATTAATGGATTTCTTCTCATCCTCTTGCTTTTTGCCGACTCACAAGCAACTTACCCACGAACTATCCTGAGATTTCGCTCTTTGACTCTGCCATCTGCTTCAAGTGTCAGTGTTCTTCACTATCTCAGAATTTTCCTATCCTTTTCTCTGTTCAAATCCGCTTAATTTCTAAGCCCAGATCCTAGATTTGTAACCCAGACCAAACCCATTTTCAAATTACTTTGTGGTTGTGAAGAAAGATGCTTTCTTGAAAAGCTGGAGTCTCTTGTGGGGTTTGTTTTGTGGTGTGCGAATCTTTCTGGTTTGGTTTTGTTAGATGAAGGCCATGCCCTTGCCTTTTGAGGAGTTTCAAGGGAAGGGGGTGTTTGAGTTTTCTTCTTTTGCTTCTTCAGATTCGTTTCCTTTGCCTCTTCTGCATCATCAGCCACCACCGGGAAAGTGGACCGGCGGCGAGAAAATTTGCTATGTGGGCACTGAGCCCACCTCTGTTCTCGACGCCAGAAGAAGCCCAAGCCCTCCGAATTCCTCCTCAACAATGGCCTCTCGTGGAAGCAATAGCGCCGCAAGCAAGGGCGGCGGAGGTGGAGGCGGCGACGGAAGTTGCTCAACGAATAGCACAACCACCGGCGCCGCCGCGACGGCCTCTGAAACCCATCCCAGGCGGCCTTAGACACGTCCACCGCCGAGAAATGTGCTCTGCCGGTGGAGGATTGGGAGGCTGTGTTGTCTGAATCCCCAGGTCAAGATCAGTCTATTCTGAGACTAATCATGGGCGATATTGAAGACCCATCTTCGGGATTGAACAATATCTTGCAGAGCAGTGGTGCTGGGTCTCATATGGTGGATTTCAATGGAGGTTTTGGGGTGGTAGATCAAGGGTTTGAGCTTGAACCTGTAACTTGTGGGAACATAATCAGTCATAGCACTTCAGAACCCATTTTCTCGGCTTCAGCAACCAATCCTCTGATGATGTCATCTTCTCCATTGGTGTTCAATTCTCAGGCGCAAGTAAGTTCATCGGTCGAAGACAAGTTAAACCGGAATCAAGTCCAATTCTCTGAGAATCCATCTTTCTTTATGCCACTGTCATACCCACAATTGCAAGAGCAGCAAGTTTATTCTCAGCCTCAAGCAAAACGGCTTCTTTGTGACACAATTGGGCAAGGCTATCAGGTGCCGAAGGGTGCGGTATTGGATTCGGGGCAAGAGCTATTGGCTAGGAGGCAGCAATTGCAGCTTCCTATGAACACTCAACATGTGCACCATCAATGGCAATCCTTAATTGAGCCACCATTGAAACAGCAGAAGGTGAGCTCTGCAGGGGATGATTTCGCAACTCAAGAGCTCCAGCAGACTATAATTGAAATGATTTTCAAGGCTGCGGAGCATATCGAAGCCGGTAACCCGGTAAATGCGCAAGGGATATTGGCGCGGCTCAATCACCAGCTCTCCCCTATTGGTAAGCCATTTCAGAGGGCTGCATTCTATATGAAGGAAGCCTTGCAGTTACTGCTGCATTCAAATGGGCAAAGCTTATTGGCTTTCTCGCCCATCAGTTTCATATTCAAAATTGGAGCTTATAAGTCATTCTCTGATATATCTCCAGTCATTCAGTTTGCTAATTTTACTTGTAATCAAGCGCTCATTGAGGCTGTGGAGAGTTTTGAGAGGATTCACATTATTGATTTTGATATTGGGTTTGGAGTGCAATTGGCTTCTTTCATGCAAGAGCTGGCCTTGAGGAATGGTGGTGCACCTTCCCTGAAAGTTACTGCAATTGTATCCCCATCCACCTGTGATGAATTTGAGCTCAATTTTACCCGAGACCACTTGAAACAATATGCCAAAGAAATCAACATATCCTTTGAGCTTAATGTTATGAGCATTGAATCATTAAACTCTACTTCCTGGCCCCTTCCTAGTCGATTCCCCGATTCAGAAGCAATTGCTGTGAATTTGCCTGTTTCTTGTTTCTCAAATTACCCTCCATCCTTTCCTGTGGCCCTTCGCTTTGTAAAGCAACTCATGCCAAAAATTGTGGTCACCTTGGATAGAAGCTGCGATCGAATCGATGTCCCATTCCCCCACAGTTTAATCCATGCCCTTCAATCTTACTCAGCCTTGCTTGAATCCCTGGATGCTGTGAACGTGAACCTCGATGTCCTCCAAAAGATTGAGAGGCACTTTGTCCAACCGGCCATCGAGAAGATCATACTAGGTCGCCACCAATGCAGGGGAAAGTTTGCCCCATGGAGGAGCCTACTTCTCTCATCTGGGTTCTCTCCCTTCTCATTCAGTAACTCTACAGAAGCTCAAGCCGAGTGCTTGGTGCAGAGGGCGGCTGTGAGGGGATTCCAAGTGGATAGGAAGCATTCTTCTCTTACCTTATGCTGGCAGAGGAAGGAACTCATCTCTATTTCAACTTGGAGATGCTGAGCAGTAGCTGAATCAGTAATATGCTTTCAAAGGTGCTTCATGACTTACTCATTTAGTTTATTTTTCTGAGTCCTATTGTCTGTGGTTGTTCTCAGTGCTACTAATTGTTCATGTAATTTAGGTTCTTAGTTATGCTATCAATCAACTCAACACCTCCAAATCTTTTGTTAAATGGATGGGATGGCATTGTACAGTTCCTATTATTATGTATTTTTCTAGCATTTTCCACTTTGAATCCGGGCATCATCTATGCCTTTTCCCACATCCATCTCCTGGATGGTGACTTTTTTATGTAGTCTTGACCTTAAAGCAAATTGCTTTGGAAGCAAAGAACTCTGTATGTTCTAAAAGTTGGACTATAAATCAATGGAGGCACTGATTTTATCAGTTTTTTTAATTATTATTATTAGTCTTTTCAATAGGGTTATTTTGTTGGTTCATCATTGACACCTACCTCTAATTTTCATCACACTTCCATTTTAATATAGTTTAGTTTGTGTTTGGTTTTATGTTGGAAATTATCAAATCCATGGTTTTGGTGGTAATGGAAAAACACTTTTGAGATGTATATTCTTTCTAGTTTTATTTGTAAGTTATTTTGAGCATGTTTTATCTAGATTAAGAAAAATCTTAAATCTTATTAATTCTTTTTAAAAAATCAACAAGTTTTTAACTTTACTAGCATCTAATGGGGGTAAAAGGTAATGGAAACAAATTATAAAAGTGCAGTGTTAATATATTCAAAACAAATAATCTTCCTCTATACTATAAAATTTATAGTAAAAAAGGGGGTTTTTCCATGGTGAAAATTGTGAGAGGCAATTGCATATAAATTTATATATCGGAGAGATAGAGGTGGAGGGTAATGTAATTAAGAATTTGAAGTAATCATTAAAATAGAGGTAATAATTCTGACAAGAAATGAGAACTTGTGAATCTGGACTTGTCTGTATCAATGTCTTGGTGCAATGGATTGAGTGAGAAAATGTTCAATATCACCATGAGAGCTTTTTTCTTGCCAAAAAAATGGGGGACGACTTCAATATATGTATATATGTATATATATACCATAAATATATATATATATATATATATATCACCGTGAAACAATTAATTACTTATTATGTTGACTGCTCTTTGTTGGAACACAACAATCATTAGAAATTGGTGGATTTATATCATTCTGCTCTGGAAAAAAGAAATAGATAAAAAAAAAGAAAAAAAAGAAACGGCTGCTGACATAACTCGTTTTAAAAAGTCTGAAAGCCTTGAAAGTGAAGTTTGTGAAAGGAATAGAGAGAACACAGGAAATATGTTAATCCAGTGAAAAGGGACTTTTTTTATATGCTTTATTTTCCGTCGTATCACTATTATTAGACTTTTTTTAAAATTTTTTTTCTAAGGTTCTTTTTAGTTAAACCATGGAGGTTTTTTTAACACAAATTTAACGTCAATATTATTAATTTATATTTTCCAAACCATTGAATGTTAAAAATAGTTGAAATTAATAATGTCTATTATTTTTGTAGTCAGCCATAAATATTTTATTATTAATTTTAAATATATATTTTTGGCCTATTAACTCTTATGCATGTTTTATAGCAGACCTCAAGCTCAAAATCAATACATGAATATTTTTTGCTTGAAATATTGATTTCTAATATCTGAGGACATGCTTGAGAGTATAGGATGGAACACAAGAAATAATCATTAATGAAATGAGATGTGGTAGAGTGAAGTGGAGTGGAATGGAATGGAATGGAATATTCATTGTTGGGGAGTTCTATTAAAGGAATAATAATTTTATTTAATCATTATTTAAGAATAATTATAAAATTAATATATTTAAATTAAATATATTTTTTTTCAATTTTAAGGTAAAAGAGAGTGAAAGAATGAGTGGGGGTGAGAAGGATAAGGATAATTTTATAAGAAAATTACTTATATCATATCATTCCATTATCGATTCCTAAATTAGAGATTCAACAAAAATGAGTTTAAGATGATATGTGATGGCTTGGAAGGCCATCCCAAGTTATTCGAACTCTCTTTTAATTTTTTTTTTCAAATAATAATATAAAGCTTTTAACCATCCCATCTTATCCCATTCTATCTTAAAAAAAACACACTCAAACATTACCTAAATACAAAAAGAATCTTAATATATTAATATAAATATGGCCTACAGTTTTATTTATGAATTATTTTTAATATGTTTCAACAAAATAATTTTTTTAAAATTCATTGACTGCATATAAAAATTTAATAAGTATTTTAATTTTATCTATATTAAGTGTGTGTATTAATAATGTGTTTTTTATCAATACTTAATAAGGGGGTAAAAAGGAAAATTTATCTAAAAAAATTCATCAAATTTCTCCAATGCCGCTTCGAATATTTGATTCACCAATTTGATCAATTCAAGACTAATTTGCTCAGCTTTCTCCTCGTTTTTCCATTGCATTGGACTAGATAGGAGATCAATTTCCGATTCAAGTGGTTGGTTTGGTCTAGTTATCTTAGCTTAGTAAAATAAAAATAAAAAGATTTGTACATATATAACTTAGCAAAAAAATTGCACTGTTTATAAATTATAATGATATATAAATTTATATTTTCTATTTTTTTAATACATCGGAGAGCCAAATTTACATTTTCTATTTATATATTGCTCCCTCCATCCCAAATTATAAAATAATTTTGAGAGAGATTCAGTATCTCAAATATACGATGCTTTGATAAAAATAATATTTTATTAATGATATTTTTTTCAAAATATCATTCACTCTTTTTATATATTATCTATCTTCGATATTTTTTTATAAATGAAGTATTAAATTAAGAGTATTTTTAAAAATTATATTTTTATCTTAAAAAATAAAATTATAAAGTATATTTAATAAATTTTATTAGTATGTATAATTTTGCTTAAAAGTATCTTATGAATTAAAATGAAGGTCTACTTTATTTTTAAATATAAGAGAAACTATCTTATATTTCTTTGTTTTGTTATTATAAGCAGAACTACAAATTTCAAGAAAAATTAATTATATTTTTTTTTCAAATTGTCTGTCATAAATGAATAGTATAACTAAATCAGAGGGAAAAGGTAAACATTAATTATAAGATAATTTGAGTCCAAACATTTCAATTTTAAATAAATTATCATGATAATTTAATTTTTTTAAACTGTGTGAGTTAATTAAAATACTCTTATATTAAAAAATAGATGAAGTATAATTTAGTATATTAATATTAATAATATTTTTTATTTTATATCTTATTTATTTATTTATTTATTATTTTTTAAATTTTTGAAAAATAATTTATTATGCGTATTAATTGCTAAAACAATTTTAAAGATAGAAATATCATGTTTTTTTAATAAATGTGAAATTGGTTAAAAGCCTATACTAGGGCAGTAGGGCCAGAGGGAGTTGTTTGGAACTAGGCTAATTTTCGTCAGCCGTTTTTATTTACAATTTTATTTGTTTTCTAAATTTCAGCTTTCCCCTTCAAATTTTCCATATTATTTTATTATATTATTATGGTTGAATATTTTTAGGACTATATGCATCATCCCATTATATTAAGGCACGCCAACTTGCGTTTTCAAGTGATCACACGCTGAACAAAAAGTTGTCCTTCTAATTATTATAATTATCAATTATTATAATTATTTTTTAATGCTTCTGCTAATGAAATCACATGGGGTCTTCTTTATGTGGGGCCTACACACAAATTAGTTTAACCTTGGAAGCCTCTCATTTACTTGCTACTTTCACAAAGCACAATTATTAATGATAATAATCAAAATATTTAATGATTGAGGTCATGTTGCATGAGAGACACGTCTGGTTTCTCATTGTAATTGCAATTTTTTTTTCTAAAATATTTATCTGTAAAAATTATAAAATTTATAAAGAATTTTTATTATTTATGCATTATGAACCATACAACTTATCTTAGACTTTATGCAATTTATTTTAATATAAAATAATGACAAACACACCAACTCCATGGACAATAAGGCACACTCTAAATTATTTTATTATTAATTGTTAATTCATTATTCAATTAAAGAATGATACTCCTATTTGATACATTTGGCAATGTTTGTTTAAAATTTAATCATGGGCATGGAGCACCAACTTCATTACTTTCTTTAAATTTTATTTAGTGTGAGGAAACATGCTGCAGTTATAATATAAAAAGAAAAACTAAAGAATTTACATGTTATTAACATTGTTCCCTCTTTCTGTTTTTTTTTTTTTTACTTTGTCATGGTTTTGATAACCTTGCCAGAATGGTTGAACTAGTTAAATTGTTGACTGGATTCACTATAGTTCATTTGAATCAAAAAATTATTTTTATAGTTGAGCTGAGTTAGAGAAGAGTTGAATTGCCATTGAGTTAGAAACTAGAGTTAAGTCAAGAATCAAAATGATTTTAAAAAAAATAAGACGGATAAATACCTAATATTCTAGTCATTAAAAAATATAAAGTATTTTTAATCGAATTTTACCCTCTAATAAAGTAGTTTCATACTTTCAAATTAACCCTATCTTTTTATATTTACTTCTATTAAACACCTTATAATAAATATAAAATCATTATTAATAAGGGTACTTTTGAAAAAAAAGTTAATGATTACACCTGAAAAAATAAAAAATACTTTATATTTTTTAACATCTAACTCGTCAAAAAATACCTTATATTTTTGAACAGAGAAAGTATAAAAAAGGGTTAAAATATTTTAAAATATTATCTAACTTTATTTTTGGACCCTTCATAGATATATAATATTATGTGGGACCATTTTCTTACAAATATGTTGATAGCTATAGATGCAAATACAAATATTATTGAGCCTATTCATACTTAAGTTAACCAAGATCTGTTTATGTTTGACAAATTATAATTTATATTGTTATTAATTTATAGTCATGTTAGGTTATTTTATTAACAACTAGACATATTGTAAATTTTATTATATAAGAATGACATTAAAAATAATTAATATAAAATTTTACTTTATTATATAAAATTTTATAATGACATTAAAAATTTTATTTTATTATATATAATTTTATTTTTTAAAATAAAAAATATAAACTTCTAAAAATATCTTTAATTTAATATTCTATTTATGACAAAATTTTAATGAAGTAAGATAACATAATGGAAAGGGAGCTAGTTATTAGCCTTGGTTTCTTCACATATGTGTGTAAATAATACTTCATTCAGTTCAAAATATAAGCATTTTTACTTAACTAATTTTAATTTAAAATATAAGTAATTTAGTACATACAAATTTTTTTTTTCATTTTATCCCTTACATTTATTAATTTAGATCTTTATGTATATCTTCTATTCATTATGAAGTA